GGGGGGGGTCCCGGGGCCGGGCCCACTCGGCGGTCCCGGGAGCGGCGCCGGGCGATGCGCATGCGCAGGGTGGCGGAATCGACAGCCGAGCGCACCGATAGGAACCAATCAGCAGAGCGCCGAGCGCACGGACGCCCCGCCTCTTCCGCTCGAGGGGCCAATCACGTCTCGCTGAGGGCGGAACTTTGCCCTTCCCGCCGTTTCAAACGAGTGATTGACAGCTCAGCGGACCAATCAGGGATACCCGTTTAGTGATTGACAGCGCAACCGACCAATGCGCGAGTGGTTTATTGCTATGGTTACAAGTCAACCGAGGCCTGAGGGGATCCCAAATCCCTGGATTTTTGGGTCCCAAATCCTTGGGTTTTGGGTCCCAAAATCCTGATTTTTTAGGGGTCCCAAATCCCTGATTTTTGGGTCCCAAATCCCTGGGTTTGGGTCCAAAATTCCTGGGTTTTTTTTGGGTCCCAAATCCCAATTTTTGGGGTCCCGTCCCAGGGAAACTGAGGCACGAAGTGATTCCAGAGGAGAAATCCCAAATTCCCACTGGGATTTTGGGACGGTACCGTTTCTTTTCCAGGTAAAATGAGGCACAAAGTGATTCCAGAGGGGGAATCCCAAATTCCCACGGAGATTTTGGAATTGTACCGTTACTCTTCCACGTAAACTGAGCCACAGGAGTAATTCCAGAGGGAAATTCCCAATTCCCAGAGGGAGATCCCTCCCCATTTGGGATTTTGGGATCGTACCATCCCCATTTCCCAGGACAATTCCAGAGGTTGATCACAAATTCCAGGGATTTCAGGGGGAATTCCCCAATTCCCACTGGAATTTAAAGGAGAATTCCCCAATTCCCAACGGGATTTAAGGGCAGAATTCCCCAATTCCCACCAGGATTTCAGGACAGAATTCCCCAATTCCCACCAGGATTTTGGGATCGTACCGTCCCCATTTCCCAGGACAATTCCTGAGGGGTGATCCCAAATTCCCACCAGGATTTCAGGGCAGAATTCCCCAATTCCCACCGGGATTTCAGGGCAGAATTCCCCAATTCCCAGTGGAATTTCAGGGAGAATTCCCACCGGGATTTCAGGGCAGAATTCCCCAATTCCCAGTGGAATTTCAGGGAGAATTCCCGCTGGGATTTCAGGGCAGAATTCCCCAATTCCCAGTGGAATTTCAGGGAG